GTGGGAGGGACATCGGCCGGAGCACACAGTAGGACATCGGCCGGAGCACACATGGGAGGACATCCGGAGCACACAGTGGGAGGACATCGGCCGGAGCACACAGTGGGAGGACATCGGCCGGAGCACACAGTGGGAGGACATCGGCGGAGCACACCGTGGGAGGACATCGGCCGGAGCACACCGTGGGAGGACATCGGCCGGAGGACACGTGGGAGGACATCGGCCGGAGGACACCGTGGGAGGACATCGGCCGGAGGACACCGTGGGAGGACATCGGCCGGAGGACACCGTGGGAGGACATCGGCCGGAGGACACCGTGGGAGGACATCGGCCGGAGGACACCGTGGGAGGACATCGGCGGAGGACACCGTGGAGGGAATCGGCTGGACCGTGGGACACAGGGGACACACACTACAGTGTAATTCTGAGTGTGGCTTGGGGTTACCACTTTTGGTACTGAAAATTAACCCCGAGCTACACTCGGGATTACCACCAGAGAGGTTAAAAGTGATTTGCATTTATACTAATGAGAGGACAGGATGTGCTATGTGTCCAGAAAGACATCCTCGGAGTACAGAGGATATATGTAGAACACCCAGTCATTCTGCCCTTTTGCCATGTCCCCCCCCCCTCCCAATTTCCAGCAAAGCTAGGAGTTGCTGTGTAGATACAGAATCTTCCACTGTCAAAAAAGACTCCTCTAACTTTATCAACATCGTTCAGACGTGAAATAGAGGGATACAAATTAGCATTGTTAAGCTGGCTATAGATGGGTAAAATTTTAAACAAAAAGAATATCCTAAGAAAATTTGTTTTTTCTAATCATTGCTGGTCTAACTGACATTTGTTTTTGACCGCCGTGACAAGAAAATTTGAAGGAGCAGGATGGAAAATTGTTCTTGAACAAAAACATGTCTAACCGTGTACATGGTTTTCATTTGGTAAAGTCCATTAATTCCAAAATCAAATGTTATAAGCAAACTAAGTCTTTCAATTTACATTTGAAAGTTCTGAAAATTTTTCCTTAAAAATTTCTTAAGAATTTTTTTTTTTTTTTAATTCTATCTATATCTAGCTTTACTTTTGTGTCCACTGTTTCATTCACCTGTAGATCGAAGGGATGAATGTCAGTCTGTAGATGCTCTCAGTTAAATCAAAATTAAAACTATTTGTTTTTTAAAAGGTAGGATAGGGTTTTTATGACAGACAAGACTTATTTGTCTCTTTAGTCATAAATTCTTCACCCAACCTGTCAGTGGTAATGTACACTGAGCCACACGTGACGTGTCCAAGTGCTGATAGCACAGCACTGGAGGACATCATTTGACAGGTAAGTCTGTCATAACGTGCTAATATTCTTATGGCATTAACATGTACATACAAACACTTGCGCGCACACACATACATACATATATACATACATACACTTACGCACACAGATTCTACACACAGGCACATGTATATATACATACACACAGATACATACACACACACGTACATACAGACACACACAGTACATACACACACACGTACATACAGACAATGTACATACACACACACATACATACACACAGACAGACAGACACATGTACATACACACACACACACACGTACGCACATACACACACAGATACATACACACACAGCTCTTTGAAAAGTTGCAGTACTTCATTATCTTCATATCCGCCATAATTTCCACTCACCAATGCGAGCAGGCGAGTGCAAATTTGAAGGCCTGCCCTACCCGCTCCTTGGACTGTCGGCTTGTTAAGCAACAATATGAATTTTGATCTAGTGTATGTACGGCAGTGTGATTGAGTGGGTATGCTGGGTCCGGGCTCTTGTGATTCAAGGCGATAACGTAATCAGATCTTGTTTTAATGGTGATTGGAGGATTGTAGGTCATATTGACCAATTTTTATAATATTTTTTAATCTCAATAAATATATTTATGTTTGGTTACACTGCTGTCCTCCGTTTAAAGCCTCTTACGGGGTGGCCTCTCTTGGTTTCTCTTATGTTTTCTATAGTATTTGCAACTGTTGTACCTTTTTCAAAAATTGCAATAAAAACCTATTGAAACTAAAAAAAAAAAAGTTTATTTTTGAAAGACAATATGTTTATCTTTTAAAAAAAACTTTTCTTTAACTTGTATTTCTTTATCATCTTAACTGCTTCCCGCCTATTCTGGAGCCTCTTTAAACAGTTCCTCATGTACACTTTAGAGAATCATGTACAGAGAGAAGCATGCAGGCTGCCATCACTGACCTCTGCTTGTTTCTGAACCCTCATACAGGCAGTCTAAAAAAGTCAGCCACTAACACAGTAATAAAGCCAGACAGCCAGGCAACTAAAATTTTCAAAATGTATCCTGGTAGGTCAGTTGGCTCTTATCTAAATTGCTTATACATGAAAGATGGAATCTAACAGACCTTAGAATTTGAGCTCTTTCATGAAAGGGACTGATGTGAATGTACAGTAAGTAAAGCGCAGTGTAAAATTGTTGGCAACATTTACAGTAGTTCTGTAATACTCATGATACAACCTGGCGCACCAAAGACAGACTCTAGTCATCCCAGAAAAGTCCCAGGGACTTATAGGAAGAAACCCTTAATGCATCAATGTGGTGGGTTGTAGAAAAAACTTTTATTCAGGTTTAAAATGTTCTGAAATGAATCAATATTGAGCAACATAAAATGATAATGTACAAAAATAAAAGTACCTAATTTGCAGAATTCCCTGCAGAGTTTCCTAGTAGCAAAGTTGTTTTTATTTCCTCCACAACCGCTATAGGCGAATTCTTCGCATCTATCCGTATCTTTATTATAGAAAAAAACGATCGACCCGACCCTTACATGGACCCCTCGCTTCAGGTAAATTACAGATTGGATCTGGAAAATACAAAAACACCTGAATGTCACCAACATAAAAAAGAGATAATGGATGATAAACAACAAAACTGTTGGAACCAAACCTTACAGAAAAAGTGTAATCAGGGTTGGGTATACTATTATACAGAAGGCCTGAGCTCATACCTCCAACTGTTCAGGTTTGCAGGTCTGTATTGTGATTTGAGATACATTTTATATGTAAACTATAATATTTACTACTGACAACTGACCACCTAAGCTAGGGTACTATTCCTCTCATTGATGTCAGGGCATTTCCCTGTACCGCTGGGGCATGCCCCTTCAAGCCATGCCCAATATTCCGCTACAGTTATCCACACCTACCTTTCACCTCACCCACCATTGCAAACACCGACTGTGTCAGGATGTCCCTGATTTTTTTAAATGCTGAAGTTGGGAGGTTTTACCCCCACATAGGCCATACATTTTTCTCCTAACCAAAGAAATTACACATTTCCCATATCAATATAAAGCCGTGATCAAGAAAAGAGGACCATACCTCAAACTAGCAGGAGGAAATTTAAAGGATATCATTAGGAAGGATTTTATTGGATAAGTTAATGCTTGGAAGAGTACAGCAAGGTAGTGAGCCAGTCCCCAGTGAATTTAAACATATTTGAGACAGACTTGGAACAGACTTTTGAGGTCTATACTACCAAAAAAAAAAAAAGAAAGCTAAAAAGAGTGGTCTTTTTTGCCTTCACTCCTCTGTAATTTGTCATTTATACTGTATGCTGTCACAAAAATTTCTATGAGAAGTTATGACCAGTGGAACAAAGTTTCAGATCAAAGATGGAAATCCATCTCTATGTGTAACAAATTCCTATTCATGAACAGGATTATGAAAACTACCTCATATTAATAGTTCATCAGTAAACTAAGGTACAAACACAACAAAGATAAAAGGCAGGATAGCTAGAAATTAATGAGGAAGGATATAAAAAAAAAATAATAATAAATGTACCACACACACACAAAGTGGGGAGGATACATACAAGGATACTGTAGGATGTCCCCTCAATTCCAGAACTGGTGAACTTTTCCCTCACTTTCAGTCTTGGTGACAATGGTCACAAGACTAAATCAAGAGGGTGAATTTACAACAGAGACATAGACAACAATACAAACCTAATAGGGATTCTAAGTTTTTACACTCAAAATAAAGGAAAAAAATGGATTTTAGACACAAATAGAAAGTTTTGCTGAGCTCATTTCAAATACTTGTGAAACCATACTGCAATATAAGGGACCCTTGTGTATTTATAAGCATTACTATGCAAAACTGACCTTTAGCTGCAGAAGTGAGCTGAATCATCAAGAGAGTGGTGGCAATCACCGCAAGGATCATTGTGGTTTTCATGTTGTAGTCTGGTGTCTTGGTCACCACAATGAAGAGTTGGAGTTGCTCTGTAAACTGTGTATGATGCCAGATTCCTGCTGGATATTTATAGAGAGAGAAGATGACCCCACCCACAGCTGGACTGGTAGGTCAGTTGGTTTGCCCAGAGGGTGATCTTGACACATCTGGTGGGTTGGAGGTCATTTTAATTGTCAATGGTATCTTTCTTGTCATGCCAGGACAAACTGTCCTTGTTTTTGTCTCCTTCTGCTTTTGTTTGAGAAGTAATCATATGACATGGACATGAAGAATTGAACACTGCCATGGGGGACATGTACAAATGCAAAAATAAAATACAGTTCTTCGGGTTAAAGGTTTTCTTGTGTGCCTTAAAGTACAACATTAAAAATACACAAGGCAAGCTATTGTTGAAAAAAGGGCACGGGAACCTGAGCACTGTCCTGGGTAAGAGTTGGGAGAGGGATTATTTTTTTTTTTGGTTTAACCACTTGCCTACAGGGCACTTATACCCCCTTCCTGCTCAGGCCAATTTCCAGCTTTCAGCGCTGTCGCACTTTAAATGACAATTGCGCGGTCAAACAACATTGTACCCATATGAAATTTTTATAATTTTTTTGTGACAGAGCTTTATTTTGGTGGTATTTATTCACCTCTGGGTTTTTTATTTTTTCTTAAACAAACCAAAAACCACTGAAAATTTTGAAAAAAAAAATGTTTATTCTTAGTTTTTGTTATAAACTTTTGTAAAATAAGTGATTTTTTTCTCCTTCACTGATGTGCGCTAATGAGGCTGCGCTGATGGGCACTGATAGGCTGCACTGATGGGCACTGATAGGTGGCACTAATGGGCACTGATGAGGAGGCACTGGTAGTTGGCACTGATGGGCATTGACAGGCATCACTGATGGGCACTGAAAGACAGCACTGATACATGGCACTGATAGGCAGCACTGACTGGCACTGACTGGCGGCACTGACTGGTTGCACTGACTGGCACTGTTAGGTGGCACTGACAGGCAGTGATAGGTGGCACTGATAGGCAGCACTGACTGGCACTGGGCATTGATAGGTGGCACTGACTGGCACTGATGGGTGACACTGAAAGGCAGCTCAGATGGGCACTGATATGTGGCACTGATGGACACTGGCAGGAGGCACTGATGAGCACTGACATAAGGCACTGATGAGCACTGACAGGTGGCACTTCTGGGGCTACACTGATCATCAGGGCACACTGATCATCAGTGCCCTGATGATCAGTGTACATGTCCCCTGCGCGGAAAGCCGATTATCGGCTCTCCTCTCCTCCTCTCGAGCTGTCAGCGTGACAGTTCGAGAGGAGAGAAATGCCGATAACCGGCCTTTCCCTGTTTACATGTGATCAGCTGTGATTGGACACAGCTGATCACATGACTGAGCCGACATCTTTGGCTCTTTCCGTGATCGGTGATCCACTGTGTCCGAGGGACACAGAGCACCACCGATCACCACGCTGTGTGCTCCCTGAGCCGTGCATGCGCAGTGAAAATGGGAGGATGTCATATGACGTCCTCCCAGAACAAGAGAACCACCTTGCGCCCGTCATATTACTATATGGTGGGGGGGAGGTGGTTAAAAAGCATCACTGAAAATACAAAAATTCTTTAACCTTTTTACTGCCAGGCCCTGTATTCCACTTTTAAACTCAGGTGGACAGACCATTTCTGCTGTTTTTCCATTGTATTGTTTTTAACTTACAGCTTTCACAGTTTGTAAAAGACCCCACAAACCATACATTTTATGAACGCACATGACCAGTAGAATAAAAAGAAGGGGCTAATGATTATTTTAGGCCCTGGGATGTCTGTTCAATTCTGTATTTTCAGTTAAAATACATTAAAATCAATATTAGGGAATACATACATGGCAAAACTTACAGAAACTGCTAAATTCCCAATAAATATAAAAGCTAAAACTATATTGAATTAATAAATAACACATATTTGTAAACTTTAAATTTCACCATTTTGTGAAGTGGTGAAAACTGAAGGTGTGCAAGACAGTAAATAAAAACTATTTACTCAAAATCTGGAGGTTATCATTTTTCACCTACAACTTTGAGTTTGAAGCAGACCCCCAAAGCATACACTTTCTAAAAGCACATGACCCGTAGAATAAAAAAATGTGCTATTGATTTTTTTTAGGCTCTTCCATAGTTGAGCAAATGTTTATCAACTCGCTATTTTCACTATAAATACACTAATATCAATATTATTATTGGATACATATATGGAAAACTCTACTAAATTCATGCTAAGTTCATACTAAATATAAAAGCTAAAAGTATATTGAGTTAATAAATAACAAATATTTGAAAAATTTAAGTTGCGCCTTTTTTGAAATGGTAAAAACTGAAGATGAGCTACACTGTAAATAAGAACAATTTACTCAAAATCTGGAGGTTATTATTTTTCACTTACAGCTTTCAGAATTTGCAAACGTTCATACATATTCTGAAAGCACATGACCTGTAGAATTAAAAAAAAGTTCTACTGATTTTTTAGGTCCTGCAATGGTTGTGCAAATGTTTATAAACTTGCTATTGTCACTAAAAAATACACTGAAATCATTATTTTTAGTGAAAACATTATGACTGACTGATGCGCTACTCAATAAAAATAATAAATAAAATATAACTATACCCGCACAGTGTGAAATAAAAAATATATAGCAAATGATAATAATATAAATATAAATTTGAATATGTGACCAAATACTAACTGGACTAAATTATTGTAGAAATAATTCACTCAATGCACATAAAACTAAGCCCACACAGTGTAAATAAAAGTGACAATACTGAACAAATAAATTTGTGACCAAATAAAGTGATCAATGGCACATAAAAATATATAAATAAATGTGAAGTGGCACGATAAAGTGTACAGTCCCAATGAATCTGTAGGTCTTCAACAAAGGCCATGAAACATCCAGTGACCACTGCAAAAAACCCCACAAATCTTCTACCAGCTAAAGTGCACACTCGCCTCCAGGCTGCGACCCACAAGGGGTCATAAGGCTTTTGAATGCTCTCAAACGATGCTATCCCTGTGTGTCCCTTTGATAATATTCAGGGAAATCCTCTATGGTGGAGATAGTAAGCACTCATAAGTGTACCAGCAGAAATGGCTCAGATGTCCCCTCACGGATATGGTCAAATACTCTCCTCTCCAATGGCCCCCACATGGAAAATTAAATAAAAAAACTCCCCATAGTGTAGTAGGTAAACATTTATTGATAAAAAAGGCAGAGTGACTACTCATATTAAAAACAGGGTCCTCAGACCCATACAGGCAGGAAAAACTGCAATGCAGAGAGGTGTATACACTGAGGTGTACCAAGATGGTGGTTGCAGTCTGTACCGGAAATTACGTCACCTTTCTACCATCCTACGCTTTGCATCACGAATCGCATGACTTCCTCAGGGAATTGATCACTTTATTGGGTCACCATTCGAAAGGTACGCACCTTCAGGCTTTCAAAGTGGTCATTGGATTTCAGGTTCCTATATGTGGTTAGGCTCCCAAACAGTCTCACACATGGTATCCCCATACTCAGTAGAAGTAACAGAATGTATTTTGGGGTGTAGTTCCACATATACCCATGGCTTGTGTGAGAAATAATTTAAATGACAACTTTGTATATGTGTGTATATATATATATATATGTATGTATGTATATATGTATGTATATGTGTGTGTATATATACATATATGTTTTTGTAATTTTCCAGAAACTTGTGGAAAAAAAAAAAATCTTCCATGGACTCAATATGCCTCTCAGCAGATAGCTTAAGGTGTCTACTTTCCAAAAAGGGGTCATTTGTGGTGTTTGGTTTGTACTATCCTGGTATTTTAGAACCTCAAGAAATGTAATAAGCAGTCAGAAAGTAAAAGCTGTGTAAATTCCTGTCGGGGATCGTCGAGCCGCTGGTCCCGGCGCAGGCGCAGTACACCTCCCTGTACGCGAGCGCCGGGACTTGGCCGACCGCGGCAATCAGGTTCGCGCATGCGCAGTAGTGACCGCGGGCGCGCGCCTGGCACCAATGACAGCGCAGGGCGGGATATTTAAACGGCCCTGAGCTGTCATTCAGTGCCTTTTGGTCTTTTGTATCCTGTGAACCTGTGAACCTGTCTGAAGTAAGTTGCTGACCCGGATTGTGCCCTGACCTTGCTGTTTTCTTCTGTTTTGACCCTTGCTTGCCTGACCTCTCTCCTGTATGCCCCCTATTGGATCTGACCTGCTGTTGCTGACCTGGCGTGTGACCCGACTATTCTCTGCCCGCTGCTCTGTACCGCACCGTCCCCATAGTTACCGACCCGGCTTGTATGACCCTGCTCCTGCTCAGCCATCCATCCATCCATCCATCCGTCCCTCTCTACGGGGTCTCCAGACCTCCTCATACCTGGCTCTCTCCCGTGGGATCCCCTGGCGATTACCCTACCACTGACGGGTGTCCTCAGTAGTCACGACCTGGTCCTGGGGTACTCCAAGTCCATCCCCACCATCAGGGGCCCTGGCGAACAAGTACCCTGGGGCTTAGATTCCGTGCGCTGGGAACATCCGACCAGTGGAGTGCTAGTGGTACCGCCGGGCGGTCCCTTACAGTACCAAAAGGCCATGACTGAGCCTAGAGGAGGGCCCTCCCCGTTAGAGGAAATTTGCAGGCACCTAGCTACTTTGACGCAGGCCGTAACGGTCCTGCAGGACAGATGCATGCAGCTGGAGAATCGCATCCAGACTGGCTCTATTTCTGATCCTGCCCCACAGGCCCCGGTTTCTGCACCCCCGGCCCTGGTAGCTCAGGAGCCAGCCTCAGGGGCTTCCGCCCCGCTCCCTATGGTAGAACCCCGAGTACCCCTACCGGAGCGTTTTCACGGGGACCGCACACGCTTCCGGTCATTCCGCGACTCCTGTCTCTTGTTCTTTGAGCTACAACCCCGTACCTTCCTGACCGAAAACGTGAAGGTAGGATTCATTATTTCACTACTACAGGGTGAACCCCAGGATTGGGCCCACCGGCTAAGGGGAAACAATGATCCTCACCTGGGATCGGTCAATAGTTTCTTTGAAGCAATGGCCATCTTGTATGATGACCCACAGCGGGCAGCCTCTGCCGAAGCGACCTTATATGCGCTCCGACAGGGCCGGCGGGCGGCAGAGGAATACGCCTCTGATTTCAGGCGGTGGATGGGGGACACACGCTGGAACGAGTTCGCTCTATTGCACCAGTTCCGTATGGGACTCTCCGATCCCTTGAAAGATGAGCTGGCCCGGGTGGAGGTTCCCGAGTCTCTAGAAGACCTTATTGCCCTGACAATTAAGATTGACCGAAGACTGCGGGAACGCAGGCTTGAGAGGTCCGGCCAGGGTCGCGGAAATACCTGGGGTCCATTCCTAGGCCCCAGCCCACCAACCCGACAAAGCATCCAGAACCCACCACCAGGAGATGTTCCGGAACCTATGCAGCTAGGTCTGGCACGGCCTAAATTATCACCGGAGGAACGCCAGCGCAGACGAGCCCAGAACCTCTGCCTTTACTGCGGTGAAGCTGGTCATATGGTGCGATCCTGCCCTCAAAAAATGAGTAAGTGCACCCGTTTTCTTCCTTGTCTATTAGCAATACCTGTCCTTCGCAATACTTAGTAGTGCCTCTCTCCTTTCAGCTTCCAGGAAAGATCGTGGAGGTGACAGCCATAGTTGATTCGGGGGCATGCAGCTGTTTCTTGGATCTAGAGTTTGCTCACCAACAGGGTATCCCTCTCCAACACAGACAGAAGGGCTTCAACATCTTTTTGGCTGATGGTTCCCAGATAAAATCGGGGGTAGTTAATCAGGAAACTCCCCCCATTGCCACTATCATTGCCAACCAGCACCAGGAGTTCCTCCACCTGGACGCTATTGCATCACCTCTTTTCCCAGTCATTCTGGGGCTCCCATGGTTACGGGCCCATAACCCCCAGATTGACTGGGAGACCGGGTCAATCTCGTTCCCTTCCCCATACTGTCGGGAACATTGTCGCACTTCGGGCCCCGCGGGGCCCCGAGTTCTCCTTTGCTCCGAAGGAGACTCCGACTTGAAACAGGTTATTCCCGCAGCCTATCATGGGTTCCTGGATGTGTTCAGTAAGCGGGGAGCCGACACTCTGCCCCCCCACCGCCCGTATGACTGTCCAATCGACCTGTTACCAGGCTCTGAAATCCCTTTTGGGCGTATTTTCCCCCTATCTGAGCTTGAATTGGGGGCCCTGAAGGAATATATCGAGGACAGCCTCCAGAAGGGATTCATCCGCCCCTCCACTTCTCCAGCAGGAGCGGGAATCTTCTTCGTGGAGAAAAAAGACAAAACCCTGAGA